GATACATTGGTATGATTCGTGAGTTCTGCTCCCTTGATTCTTCTCTTAGGGTGGGCTGTCTGCATGGGTGGTGACTGCTAGCACTTGAGAAGGACCACATGCTCAGTGTGTTTACTGAAGTTGTGCACATGCTCACTTGAGGCATTATTTTTTAATTATTTAAAAAACTCTTCTTCTAAAAAAAAATGAGAGGGGATACATGCACAGAACCTGCAGGTTTGCTACATAGGTATATGTGTGCCATGGTGGTTTGCTGCACCTACTGACCCGCCCTCTGAGTTCCCTCCCTCACCCTCTACCCCCAATAGGCCTTGGTGTGTGTTGTTCCTACTTGAGGCACTTTTCAGTTACTAGTTGACCATTCCTAGAAAACGTCATATACCAGCTAAATTCCACTATTCTGCTTCTTGGTGCCATGTTTGCACCCACTCGCCCAACTCCAGAGAGCTAATCGGAAGCTGCTGATCACCAGCTTCAGGCATTTTCCATCTACTGGGAGATGGCCTTTCCCTGGCGCTGGCTGCAACCAATTGTTACTTTACAGAGGGCGTTAAATAACCACCAGACCATCACTTGATGGCTACCTGACATTCCTGGGGGTTTCCTTTCCTGCCCTGCCCATGTCCGCCTAACCACCTACTCTAATAGCTTTGAAGAATGAGGAAACTTGAGCCAAAATAATCTTGTCATTCTTCTTTGATTCATATTCTTTATTATGCATCTAAATAACAATCTATGTTTTCCAGGGAGTTATAGAAACCCTGAATTCTAGAATGGAATAAATATATTTCTACATATTCCAAAGATTTCATTAAAGCATCCACTCCATGTCTGAACAACTCTCTTAGTATCTGAGTGTCTGTCTGATCTTCTGATTCACTGGTGAATGGAGCTTGTCTGGTATTATCCTAGCAATTCCTCTGTGTACTTTATCAACCTTTATGGTTCAACATGACAAGGAAAGGGGAGAGTTGATAATATTAAAAAAGAAAAAACCCAGAAGCAATTAGTCTCAGATTTGCCTTATAGAAATTCTGCATTATGTGTAATTTTTATTAAGCATGCGTAGATCAATGAGGTGTCATAAATCTTAATTATCTTAGTAGAAAACAATAGCCACTCAGTAGCTGCTTATACTGTCAATTCTAAAGGTAGATTTTTGGAAAGTGTTGCCGAATGTGGTAGAGTGACCCCAAACTGGATTATAAAGAAAGGAAATGGCTGCTTTCAAAAGCAAGACTTCAGTGCTCACCTTTGCAAATAAAAGCATTAGATTCAACCAGTTCAAACATTACAAGAGGCCAGTGTACATTTTCCTCTAGCTGACTTAAGTTTCATGAGTCAAGAAAACAATTTTACTCAGGAAGTCTTTTCTTAACATTGGCTCTAGAGAAGGTGTCATTTGCATAAATGTTCTCCGTGGCATATATTAAAATTGTCCCTTATGACAACTTGCTGCCCTGGAGATATAAATCATTGAAAGCTGTTGTTTTCTCCATAATCATGTGATTTAACAGGCTTAATTCTTTAGCTAGGAAGAGATTCATGCTTCTTAAAATAAGGACATGCATATGTCATATATATATAAAATTGTTGACACAGATTATTTCTGAATGTAAACAGTGAGTGTGTATTTCTGATTCTTGCCACCTCCATTATTTTATAAAATTGCAGTTGGAAGCAACTCCCTTATTGTTCATTTCTTTGTATGGCTAAAACTGAGTGAAATTCAATTATCACAAAAATAGTGTGTTTTGATTTTGTGCATCCTGGTACTTTTGAAATTTGGAGTGTGGCCCTATCACTCCCAAGCCATTGTGGGGTCTAAATCAATTGTCTTGGTAGGCTCACACAATGGCAAAGTGTTTTCATGAATGCATAATTAAGCCACATGCCCCAGCTGAACACTCAGAAACAGAACAAAATTAAACCTGGGTTATTGCTCATCTCTTGCCAAACTTTATCTCCTCCATTTTGCTCAGTTTCCTTTGAGATTCAGTAACAGAGTAGATATATCACTTGTTGCCAGAGAGAGCAGCCCCCTCCGCCACGTTCCTAAGCTTACATCATGTTTAAGCACATACGTTGCAGAAGAAACACTAACGAGTTGAATTTCACAATAATTTTAACAGGTATTTCTCTGTTACACTCACACACATTATTTATAACTAGTGATTGACAGAGGCTTATTATGTGAATAATTGATTTTCGTTTGGCAGCTGCATTTCTGATATTGCCACTGGCTATTTGTGTGTAGTTTATTCCATAAATTGTATAGTGATAGAAATCTATGAAAGGAATGGGCTGTGTTATCTCTACATGTTCAAATCATAATATTTATACTTTTGAATTTCAGTTTGATATTTTGCAAAACTGACCTTGTTAAGTCCTTCCCAAATAAGTTTCTTGATTTGTTTTTATTTTTTTTTTTCTTGAATGTATTTCATTTATCTCAGAGTTGGGGAAAATGACCTCTGAAAATCTAGAAGACTGATGTCACTGACTGCTAAATGATGATCACTATTGAATTAACAAAAATCCTTAAGAAATAATGTCTGGATTACAATTTTATTGGTAGAAGTTTTTTTGTTTTTTTGTTTTGTTTAGTTTTGTTTTTTTTGAGACGGAGTTTCGCTCTTGTTACCCAGGCTGGAGTGCGATGGCGTGATCTCGGCTCACCGCAACCTCCGCCTCCTGGGTTCAGGCAATTCTCCTGCCTCAGCATCCTGAGTAGCTGGGATTACAGGCACGCGCCACCATGCCCAGCTAATTTTTTGTATTTTTAGTAGAGACGGGGTTTCACCATGTTGACCAGGATGGTCTCGATCTCTTGACCTCGTGATCCACCCGCCTTGGCCACCCAAAGTGCTGGTGGTAGAAGTCATTTTCATGGTGGTGAAGAAAGATTATCCAACTCAGTGTATAAGTGCTCCATGCCACAATTTCCATGGGAAATAAGTTAGCTCTCTCTTTATAAAAGGACATGATTGTACCTCAGTGGCATAAATGAGAAAGTGCTAATAACATTTTGGCCCTGACTACCAAGTGTGCATCTTTTGTCTTAATTCGTTTTGCTTGTTACCTGCGGCTATAAAACTCTGACATTTGGCAAATTTATGGAAATAAACTCAAAGTACCTTATACTGTTTCCCAGAACATTTACAGAAAATACTAGATATCTTACTGAGAATGTGACACTTCTTCCACATGATCAGGAAGAAGACAAAATTACTTATTCCACAAGTATTTATTGTGCAATGGATACAAAAATAAAAATAGGATATAATTCCTGCCTGCAGAAAGCGTCAAACCCTGTCATGGAGACAGACACAACAGGAGACAATAAAATATGCTAAGGACATTGTTAGACCAGGTGTCCAGGGTTTCATGAGAGCAGAGAAAAGAAGAGAAGCCAACTCATAACAAGGAATAGAGGCTACAGGGAAAGTACCTGAAAGTGTGCCAGAGCAATGTCCTTGCAGAAAGGAAGAGTAGGTGTTGTGTTCATCAAAATCAGGGGGCTAGCATAGTAATAACAGGAGACAGCGTACATGAAGGCCTGTGGTAGGTAGGGCCTGCCACAATCTGTGCAGGAAATGCAAGTGGGAAAGTCCTTCAGGAGCAGCTGCCAGATCGCTGAGATCCTGTGGCATCCTGCTAAGGCAGTGGCTCCTAACTTAAACCCAAAAAAGTTTGGTTTTATTTTTATTTAACTCTGATGGTGACATGGTTAGATGCATATTTTAGGTAGATTTCTAGAAACAGACTCCAAGTGTTTCTGTAGTACTGTCCTGTAGAACCTCAAAGACAAGGGCCTGAAATTGGGTACTAGGGGAGGGCCAGGTATGTTCAACCCAGAGGTTCCATCTTCCCTTTTCTTTGTCACCACGTGTACAATGAAGGAACAGGCAATATGGTGCCAGTAGATTTCTGCAAGATAAAAGCTATAGAGTGGGGGGGGGGGCAGATTTTTGCACACTATGCAAATGGCACACCTGGTCTGACCAATCATTGGTGCCCTATGCAAATTAAACACCACCTCCTCAAGCTCATCTATAAAACCTCCTGCACTTCACCATGGAAGCAGCAACCCGTTTTCTCTGGGACCTCTCTCTGTGCAGAGAGCTCTTCTCTTTCTTTCACCTATTAAACTTCTGCTCCTAACCTCCCTCAGGTGTGTCTGCATCAGTTTTCCATGGCTGTGAGACAATGAAACCTCAGGTGTTACCCTAGACAGTGATGTTGCTTCAATATGCCTCATTCTTTTTTATCATTTGATTTGTTTTTAACCTCTTCTGTTCTCATGCAAACACATTCATCATAGATATCTTCATGAGATGAGCAGTTTTCCCAGAACCTTTGACTGAAGAGATTGTCTTTTCAACATTGCATGTTCTTGGCCTATTTGTCAAAAATCAATTGCCTATAATTGCATGGGTTTATGTCTGGGCTTTCTGTCCTGTTCCATTGGTCAATGTGTTGTTATGTGAGTACCATTCTCTTTGGATTATAAGTGCTTTGTAATATATCTTGAAGTCAGGTATCCTGATGCCTCCAGCTTTGTTCATTTTTTGGGGGGGGGACAGGAAGTATAATTTATTGGTTAGTATGAAGAAGGGGCAGCACCGTGGAAGCCCTCATGAGTGCAAGGCCCGCCACTTGTCCAGAGGGCCATGACTGGGGATGTACATGACCCCACAGCTACTGGGAGGAGCTGCTTCTCAGCCACCATGTCTTCAAGGTCATCAGCATTGAACTTGGTGAAGTCCCACTTCTTCGAGCTGTGGATCTTCTGGCACCCAGAGAACTTGAACTTGGCCCTGTGCAGGGCTCCAATCACATGCTCCTTGTTCTGCAGCTTGGTGCGGATGGACATGATCACTTGGCTCATGCGGACTCTGGCCACAGTGCCCTGGGGCTTTCCAAAGGCACCTCTCATGCCTGTTTGGAGCCTACATTGGGGTAGTGCAAGGTCAGACACGTGAACATACATCTGAAAGGCCTGTCTCCAAGGTCGCTTAGAGCAACCCATTCAAGAAACAGGCTGCATTTCACTACCAAGGAAGCTGCTGTCTGCAGCCACTGCATGCTGGGCCCCCCGAGGAAAGGAACCCAGTCAGCTTCATCGGCTGCCGCAGCTTTGTTCCTTTTACTTAAGAATGTTTGTGGCTATTTGGGGTCTTTCGTGGTTTTATTGAAATTAAAAAAATTTTTTTTTTTACATTTCTGTGAAAAATAACATCAGAATTTTAATAGGGGCTGCATTGAATCTGTAGATCACTTTGAAGAGTACAGACATTTTAACAGTATTAATTCCTCTAAGCAATGAACAGCACATGTCTTTCCATTCGTGTGTTTTTTTCAAGGTTTTCATCAGCTTCATAATTCTGTATATACAAGTCTTTCACCACTTTAAATTTACACCTAAGCATTTAATCTGTTGTTGCTGTTGTAAATAGGATTGTTTTCTTTGTTCCTTTTCCAGATGCCTTTTATTAGTGTACCAAAAATGCTACCAGTTGTTTATGTTGATTTTGTAACCTGTGACTTCACTGATTTAATTCATCCATTCTATCAGTGTTTGGTGGAGTCTTTACAGTTTTCTCTGTATAAGATTATGTTGTCAGCAAACAGAGAATTTCACCTTTTCCTTTCCTATGGTGACTTTCATTGATTTCTTTTGTCTAATTGATCCAGCTCGGACTTCCAGAACTACGTGGAAAAGTACTGACAGTGGGCATCCTTGTCTTCTCCCTGACCCCAGAGAAAAGCTTTCAACTTGTCACCGTTGAGTATGATCTTAGCTATGGCTTGGTCATTTATGGCTTTTATTATGTTGAGTTACAATCCCTCTATACTTACTCTGTTGAGAGTTTTTATCATGAGAAGGTGTTAAATTACCTCAAATGCTTTTTCTCTTTCCTGCTTCTATCACAGTGATTGATCTCAAATCCCGGCTTCTGGCTTAGTGTTTATAGGTAAGTAGACAGTAGAGATAATTATCACAGTATTTAAAGTCAAGAAAGAAACAATTTCGACTGAATATCAAGATATAGTGTATGTTTGTGCATGTGCACGCATGTGCTATGGGTGTTTGTTTGTTGCTGCAAAAATGCTCCATCTGTCCACTGTCAAATAGCAATCTGTCAGACTGCATATTCCAGCGAGGGTCACAGCAGCAGCTCTTACTCTGCATGCTATTTTGCAATGTGATATTGCCACTCTGCCTTTTGAATCTGGGCAAATCCTGTGATCAACAGAAATATGGTGGAAGTGATACAATCCAAGAGTTGTACTTTAGAGAAATTGGAGGCTTCCTCGTGTTCCTGCCCCCCACACACACTTCTCGTTTTCTCTTAAATTCAGCAATAGTGCTACAAGAAGCCCACACATCACAGAAAAGACACGTGTAAGCACTTGAATCACAGCCCCAGCTGACTCTCAGCTGACAGAATATACTGACTGGTATCCACGTTGGTGAAACACCTTGGACATGCAGGCTTTCCCACGTGATACGGGTCCAACCACCTCTGACTGCCAATACATGAGCAACCTTAAGCAGGGACTGCTAGCTCATTCCTGTCTACCCACTGAGCGAGGAGTGATGATAAATCATCATCTTAAGTCACCAAGATTGGCATCATTTGCTCGACAACAATAAACCAGAACACCCACTGAAAAGGCCATCTGACATGTTTGGAACATTTTCCCTAAATGTGGATAGATCTCCACATTCTAAAAAATGCCTTTCAAAGTAGACTCTAGAAATGCACATTTCTCAGTTTGCTTGTGGTTAGCGTTCAGGCCTGTGAAAAGTTCCTTCGCACCTGCAGACCCCACACAGAGGCAAGGCCCTTTAGAACAAAGACTGCATGTGGAGAATTCGCTCCGTTGTAGGAGTGGCAGCTGAGGACACAGGGAAGATTTCAAAGCAGGTTCCTAATGCAGTATTGTGGATTGACAACAGCAGGCAAGTTAAACCTCCTCAATGGGATGCAGCAGGAGGCCAGGTTGGGGTATGGCTTGGAGCGCGTTCCCTGCCATCTTACCTTTGAATATATTTCCTTAGCCATTCTCACAATTCTGCATATAACTTAATTACCTTTAATTAACATATCATCTACTTTAATGATGTAGAGTGAATTCCATTTCTTTTGGAAGTTAAGAAACCTACCTTCTATAGAAAACATGATGCATGCATGACCCCCAGTTTTGGTACCTGAAGTGAGCAAATGCAGGACAAGACTTTTCCTGGTCATGGACAGCACAGTCAACAGAAACTCTGACGAGAGAGACCTGCAGATTAAGCACAATATGAGGAATAAAGTTAATAAAAGTGAATTGTATTGGAGGTTTTTGTTAAATAGATATATTTTAGCTGTTTCTGTTGCACACAATGAAAATGGCTATGTGAGATGACAGATATGTTAATGTGCTTCACTGCCGTCATCATTTAACTTTTGATGATATTCCATGACAGTATGTTCTAAACATCAAGCACACACAATAAAGTTTATTTAATTTTTTTTTTCTTTTAAATAGGAAGACACAGCCTGAGGAGCCAGGTGCAGTGGCTCACTCCTGTAATCCCAGAGTTTTGGGAGCTGAGGTGCAAGGATCACTTAAGCCCAGGAGCTCAAGACCATTCTGGGCAACATAGTGTGACCTCAATCTTCACAAAAAATAAAAAACAATTAGCTGACCATGACGCATGCCTGTACTTCCAGCTACTCAGGAGGCTAAAGTGGGAGGACTGCTTGAGCCTGGGAAGTAGATGCTGCAATGAGCTATGATTGTGCCACCGCACTGCAGCCTGGGTGGCAGAGAGAGACCTTGTCTCCAAAAAATACAAAAAGATACAGCTTGTGCTGGGCGTGGTGGCTCATGCCTATAATCCCAGCACTTCGGGAGGCCAAGGTGGGTGGATCACAAGGTCAGGAATTCAAGACCAGCCTGGCCAATATGGTGAAACCCCGTTTCTATTTAAAAAATTAATTAAAAAATAAAAAAAATAAAAGATACAGCTTGTTACCATGCTTTCACAACACCTGGACTTCTCTGGCTGGTTCTGAAAATATGCTGTCAAATGGCTGGCTCAGCCCGGCTCAGCACCGCTCTCCAAGCACTACTTACTGAACCAGCAGCATTAGAAACAAGCTCACCTCAAAATGTGTTAAGAATGCAAATTCTCAAGTCTCAGTCTGGACTTTCTGACACTCTTAAACTGTTTTCCAACAATTTTTTTTTTAAATAAGCCCACCAGGTAATTTTGATGCATGTGTAAGTTAAAGAATCCTATTTGGGGCTGGGCACTGTGGCTCATGCCTGCAATCTCAGCACTTCAGGAGCCTGAGGCGGGTGGATCACAAGGTCAGGAGTTCAAGACCAGCCTGGCCAAGATGGTGAAATCCCATCTCTACTAAAAATACAAAAATTAGCCGGCTGTTATGGTAGGCAGCTATAATCCCAGCTACCAGGGAGGCTGAGGCAGAAAACTGCTTTAACCCAGGAGGCAGAGATTGCAGTAAACTAAGATCACACCACTATTCCAGCCTGGGCAACAGAGAGAGACTCCACCTCAAAAAGAAAAAAAAAAAAAAAAGAAGAAGAAGAAGAAGAACCCTATTTTGCAAGGACTTCCTATTGGCCTCCTTAAAAAATGTTTTTTTGATTCTGGTATGGATCAGTTTGTCAAAATCCATACTGAATGAAGTACATTCTTCATTTGGATTCTAATAAACTCAGCAATCACATTTCCTCTGAGATCACTGATTGTATTTCAGCAACCTAATTTGCAAACTTCTAACTCCCTATCATATAAATTAACTAGATCAAATGTACTCTTAGGAATTCTTCACCCCCACCCCCCTTGGGCTTCTGTTGTTTTTTTTTTTTTTTTAATTTAACAGTGACTCTACTCTCAATTTCAGAGGATGTTGGCTCAAAGTATGTCTTAGATGCTACTTTTTCAATCTTGGTGAATGTGTGAGCTTTCCTTTTACACTTAATAGTCCATTAATGGTTCTGTTTAATAGCAAAGCCCGCTTACTCATGTTACAACTAATCACAATTTTTATTCTGTAATGTTTCCTTTTCACCATGGACTGAAGATAAAACAGATCCACATGCTCTTCCTGCACAAAGTTGTATCATCTTCAACGGTTTCCTGCTTTTCCAGTCAACATTTCATACGCTTTGCTCCTCCACCCTCAAGCTTTGCTGATGCCCCAAGGTTCAAACATCTCATAAGTATGTGAGGTCTGGCGATGTTCACATTAAAGTGTGCCAAAATTCTTTGTAAACTATAGAGTTTTACATAAGACTCAGAGCCATCAGTAAGATTCAAGGTTTCAATACTGGCAAAAATGCCCTTCTAATTTGAAAAAAGTTATTCAGTATGATATATTCAGATGTATAATATATTAGACATATATTAAGCCCTGTCCCCCAAAGCACAGTAATTTTCAAAATCTGAATTCAAAGGACTGTCTAATAACAAAGATGTCAGGCACTGTGGCTGGTGGTGCGTGAGGTCATTTTGATCATATATGTCTATTACCCCTAGTAAAGCAACTGTTTGCCTTAGTAAAATGACTGGTGTCCCTGATGTTATTAGTAAGTTATAGTAGATGAACGTGCCCTTTCATGTCAGGCAGACTTGGCTTTAAAAACTGGCTGTGCTCCTCCTTACTCCTGTGTGCTCCTCAAATCACAGGGCAACTTTTCTGTATACAAGTTCTGCTCTGTGTAAACTGAGGACTCCTTATTTAAAAACACAAGGCAATTGTGATCAAAGCCTGGCAAACACAATGCAGCAATCATTCCTCCTCCCTGCCTCCATCAGAAATTGGTCAGCATCTCTGTTCCAGGGGATACCAGGGTTCAGCCTTTCCCCAAGAACGTGACAATTGAAATTGATTCCTTCCCTGTCTGCTTATACCAAAAATAATGTTGTCAGTGACATCAGACAGCTCTTCCCAGACAGTTGCTGCTCTCTGAATCCTCTTACTTGTTGTTGCTATTGTTCTTTCCTGTCTTATCATTAATAAGAGGATTGGTTATTTATTCCTTAGTATGCTTTTAGTTGCAAGACAGAGAACCCTACTTGAACTTAAGGAAAAAGAAATTTGGCTGG